CCTGCAGCCAACGGGCCAGCCCGACCCGCTGCCATGTGGGGATGAGGGCACAGGGAGCCCCAAGCTCCTGCTCATGGCACCGGTCGCAGCAAATGGGCCAGGCCAACCCGCTGCGCTGCGGGGACGGGGGCACAGGGAGCCCTGAGCTCCCGCTCGTGGCGCCGGCCGCGCTCCGCGGCCCCGCAGGCTCCCAGGTGCTGGTGCCCCCACAAGCAGCGAGCGCTGCTCCCCCCACGCCGCAGGCACCTTGCAACAAGGCGCAGACTGGAACCAGAACTCACTGGCCAGCAAACAAATTCACGAGCCAAAGCGAGCGCCCACGGCCACAAAACCTCTACGATGTCCCACAGAGCAGACACTGAAGTCTTCCCTTTTGAGATAACTGCCCTTGACACCTTCCATACAAGAGAGGGTTTTCCACGGCACAGAACATGAAGTCAAGCAAGCAAAGTGCCAAAGCAGCCTTTAACCTACAGCAACGAGCCTCCGGGGGGAAGGAAAACTGCAAACTGTCCTTCTAGCAGGAAAAAAAGGAGAAACTCGGAATGCTGCTTAGCAGAGAGTTTGCTCAGTGAGCAGAAGTATTTCAGAACAGGAATAGCAACTGGATTCCTTGTCCATCCTTGAGCAAATGACCGTCGCGCCTGTGAGGAGAGCGTCTGCAGCAGGCAGGATGTTGAGCTCAAGACCAGGAGTGTCTGTGTGCCCAGAGTAAGCAAACATGTCTGGAGGGCCTCACCAGACATTCTTCGAGCGGGCTCAAGTTCCTCAAACATCAGCATTTAAGAGATATTCAGAGCTTTTCTGGGAAATCAGCCTAATTATTTTCAGCTCTAAAATGTAGAGCCTAAGCTTTTATCCTTTGCAGAACACAGCACCGATTGCACACTGCACTTAATATACCACAGACTGAGGCAATAAGGGCATAATCATTATCACTCTGTTTACTACTTCTGCTCTTAAGGAATAGCATCTGAAATGCCACTTTCCTGGCAGTAAGCAGCAATTACACAGTGTCATATTAGACACCATGGCTATGCGTAACAAGAACTACACTGGAATAGCCACTGTGCCTCATATATTTGGAGCGATGCCACTAAAAACGCAATAAATCATCAGCCATTTGTGCATTCACAGTATCTTTTATATGCACCGAGATATTAATAGCTGCTATCCAGAAGCAATAAAGTGACCACTTAAATCATAAAGCACTTTACTGCAAACACTATTGAAGGAATCCAGTGCTTAACTTCCAGAAGTATCAACTTTCTTGAAAAATACAAGTCTTAAAATGCACCTTAAAAGTGCCCTCAGATAGTGCTGATGAGAGACTCATTATAGCCTTTCAGATTTGGTTTTCTGAGCTTCTTTCCGCAGTTATAAAAAAATAAGGTGGTGTAATTGCTAAAAGCTCATTGAAACGTACAAGCAAGTGCCTCTAAATGGATAGCCATCGGGGAGTCTGTGAAACTTTACTGCCATAATCAGTCTTCATATCTTGCGAGTTTTGGCACTGACTGAACTGCTGAAATGTCAGATCAGTCAGTTCTGCACAGAGAGAGCATCAGGTATCACCTCAGATTAAAAAAAAATAAAATAAATCTGACCTTGTGTTCCAAAAAGAGTCAGACAATGTTGCAATGTTTTCCTAGGTGGATGATGCTATGAGGAATTCTGCTCTCCACAAGGGACAACTGGCTGAACTTTCTGGTCTGTCCTGAAGAACTTCTGGAGTCATTTCTGTGCCCTTAGGTTCTAGAAAAGAGGCCAAACGCGGGCAGCCAGCAGCCAAGTGCTCCAAGCCTGCAGAGGAGCTCTCCTTGTGCCCTGCCCTGCACATGACAGGGGCCTTGGGCTCACAGGAGGAGGCTGGCCGCCCTGTCCTAGGCAGCACGGGTGTCCTGCATTGCCCTTCGCACTCCATGTCAACTTCGAGAATGACAAAGAATCCAAAGATGTGAAAAATGACTTAAGAACAGCAGTGATGCACATCAGCCTTGACTGGTTATCCATCACCCCATAAGAAGGCACCTCCTGAGCACTCTGTGGAGCATAATTTAAAAATACTATTAAAATTCTGTGGTAGAGACCACATAAATGAATGCATGACTCAAAAGCTTGAAAGAAGTGTGTTAAATATATCTTTCAGCATGCATGCTGCAAATTTTATATATATGTGTATATATATATATGTATGTATGTATAAACTTAAGACTTTAAGTCTTAATAGTTATATATATATAACTATTGTTATATATATATATACACACACATATATAAAACTTAAGTATTTATGGTGAGGTGCCACAATATAATCATTAAAGTGATGTTGTCATTTTAAAGGTGTGAGCCTTGAGGTTTGGGGAGTTTTATCTCAAGTTTAATGCTTTAAAAAAAATAAAGTTTGAGGTACTATCTCCTTAAGCAACAAATTCCAACAAAGTTCAATTTTCTGAATAAAGCAGAGACATGAAACAAGGACAAATCCTTAATCTATATTCACAGTTTTTCTGTACAGATAGCTTACCTTATTTCTGCCCAAACAGGAGTCTTAGGAACGTCCTTTACTATTGACCGCTGCAGAAAGCTACAATAACCTGAGCGCTTTACTGAGCCACTCCAGCAGCCCTTGGGAGCGAGGTGCACACAGACACTTCAGCTCTCATCTTCCTGCCCCTGGGTCCAGGGTCGATTTCCCTAAACATTGTACTTGATGTTTACTGCACGGTTAAAACCTAGGAAAAGGTTTAGGTTTGGTCTTGCAGGGAAATCCTTAACACGAAGTAGCAGAAACAAGTATTTGCCATATAAACAATCACGTGGGAAAACATGATAATCTAATTTTTTTTTTTTACAAATTTTGAGAAGGGGAGGAAAAGATATTTCTATTTTTGCACATATCAAAGGAGAAAGTGCAAAAAAGTTATAAAGCAGTTGGAATGTATAGTGCATCTGACACGTTCATGGCTTAGCTCTCAACCACACCTGAGATTTGTGACCAGGTACCTAACAAACCACTTGGCTTGCACGCTGGTGCTGCTCCACCGCGAGCTCTTCACCCCAGCACCCTCACGCACATGGACTGGGCTGTTTGTGCTTTCACTTAAAGGATCGGTACACGTTCTCTCTAATGAGCACCTAGTAGAGATACACAGCCTGCTGCTGTACAGGCAGTTAAACACACTGGTACCACCAACCAGAGAGGTGCTCAGCACTGCAAAGCCAAGGACCATCCATTTATGCACGGCCCAAGAGCCTGACCATCTTATCTGTTCCAATAACGAGCAGCAACCACCTCTTTAGTGAAGGTCAACAGACATGCAGGTGGCACTTCTAACTTACCTTTCCCAATCTACACACACATTAGTACAGTGAAGTTTGCTTTGCTACCACGTGATAGTAATTTGGCAGAGGTAAAACAAAACGAAACCAAACCCACAGAAGTTTATGTACTTGCTACATCACAGAAAACAACCTATTCCAGTAGGAATATCACAGGTTCTTACCATATACTCCTTTGTCCAGGAGAAGTAAAAATTCATTCACTGCATTTCGCATCTCAGACTCAGTAAGATCCAGCAGAGAAACAACTTTGAAATCCAGCTGTCTCAGCAAATTGGTCAGTTCATAGACATCTACCATCGGAGCCTTGAGCTTTGGGTGATTCCAGTAGCTCATATTTCCTATCAGCAGAGCTACCTTGTCTGTTGCTGCAAAGGCAGGGGAAAGACAAAGCAAATTTGTATGTTTCCTGGGTTCAATACCCTTAAATTTAGCTTCTTCTGAAGCTAAAATAGTATCAAAGCTAAGTATTTTACATGGTATTTTTAAGTTCTCCTCTATTATCTCTAGAACTCAAGTCTCTCTCATCCAGGAAAACAAAAAGACATCACAGCATGTGCTGACAGTCAATGCATTTAAACTGTGATGAACACAGAGGTTCTCAGATCAGCTAATCTGCCAGTGAGTGACAATAAGAGCCACTAAGGCTACTTTTCATTTGTTTTGTTTACCTGAAAGCACAGACAATTACTCAATTCCTCCAAACACGATGAATATACTCAGAGTTTTCTTATGTTTCTTAAAGGAAGCAAAGCTCTTTCATTCAGCCACCTCCCATGCTCCTGTTTCTAAAATAAGCACCATTTAAGTGGTAACTTTTACAGGTCAGAAGTGAAAAGTCTCTTCCTGTTTGTTAAGATGTTTTGCTGGGGTTCTCGATAAAAACAATAGCATGAGCATGCTCCCTTAGCAGAGAGGCTGCCACTGCGCTTTGAGATCATCCTGATGCCACCACCCCGGCTGTGGGTGCACCCAGAGTTACAGGCGAGTGAACTTGTTAAGGTCACACTCAGAAGCATAAACTGGAAGAGATAAGACGTTACAGGCATTCCACCACGTATTAAAAATACTAGTGTTCTCACCCAGGTTTACTGCTGAAAATGCAACCAAGCTTTATAAGGACTATAAAAACAGAAAAGCTCCCCTCCAGGAAGCTCTTGGCAAGCACTGCAGTTACTCCACTAGCTATGGCAGAAGATTTATCCAAACAATGTTTTTTATTGTGTTCCCAATAACGCACATTACTCAGCACGGCTGCAAAATTACTCACCAAAAGGTCTGCCATTTGATTGCTCTTCTAGGTCTGCTTGAACTAAATTAAAAGAATGGAGCATCAGTAACAGCAGGCACAGTTGTTAACATAAGAAAGTGAACTGCATGTCCCACAAAGCAATAGTCCATCAGCACTACTTTGCTTACAAGTTATTTTCTAGCTTTAAATAACAGTAATAGTGCTTGACTTTTGCTGTTCTTTTACCTAATAACCACAGAAAACAAAAGATAATTTATATAATATGCAGGAATATCATATAAAAGAGCAGTGTTAGCAGCCACCCTATGCTTCACTGCAGATTTTTAAGTTAATTTATTGAATCAAGTAAGCTGCATGGCCCTTTACATGACCCATGGCCCTATTAAATCCTCAGTTATGAATACATACAAATAATGGAAGTTACACACGGCAGCACAGTGAAGTTCAGTGACACTGAACAACACTAGAAATTGGAACTCAATTTCTCTTTTGCCCAGGCCAGTAAATGCTGCTCGTACACCATTGTATGAGGAAAGAGCAGACGAGCAGGGCCTGTTCAGCCTGGAGAAGACTGAGAGGGGATCTGATCAATCTCCTCTGTGGTGGCCGGTGTCAGGATAAGGGGCAGCGGGTACAAGCTGAACCCCAGGCAGCTCCATGTCCATGTGAGGAAGAACTTCTTTGCTGTGGGGGTGCCCGAGCCCTGGCACAGGCTGCCCAGAGAGGCTGTGGAGGCTCCTGCCCTGGAGATCTCCAACCCGCCTGGATGGACCCTGGGCCCCGTGCTCTGGGTGTCCCTGCTGGAGCAGGGGCTGGACTGGGTGATCCCTGGAAGTGCCTTCCAACCTCAACCACTCTGGGATTGTGTGACTTGTACTGTGAAATGAAGACCTGAAATTAAAGTTTTTCAAAATTAATAACTTACCAGGGTTTTGAAGGCCACTTAGATCTTCTGTGAAAAAATATACCAACAAGATCACAGTTTAAAACAAGAACCGAATAATAATTTGCTTATTAATAGAAGTACCATTCCATATTAATAGAAGTCAAAAAAAATTAACTTTACATGTAAAGACAGCCTTTCGTGTGTTTATTCTAGAGGTGCAGAAGAGAAAAAGAGAAAATCTGGCATCAAAACACTAATTACGCAAGCCACAGCAATACAATATAACAGATCTCAGATAAAATCAAAGGGAAAACCACCTCCTGCCCTCAGTCCCCCAGGCAGGAGGCAGCTTGAACGCGGGGAAAGGAGCGCAGCAACGCGTGGGGGTGACATGTTCTCCGGCCTGCTCAGGAGGCAACACCCTGAGCAGAAAGCTCCTTCCCAGCCCCGCACGCTCCTGGGGGGCTCCTGATCTGATCTGCAAACACGCCAAGCTGCCAGAGGGGTCACCTGCCTGTTTGGAGACCCCTGGAATCTACAGGAGCGTCACCGACCCGACCTGGAGGTCTCCTCGAGCCGGCCTGGCCCACGCAGCCACCGCCAGGCACTCGCGTCGGTCACCGGGGGAGGCTGGAGCGTCCCCGGGGCGCCCGCGAGCGCCGGGGCAGGGGCTGTGCCGGGAGCCGCACGGCCCGGCCGGGCGCCGCTCTGCAGAGCGCGGCCCAGAGCCACCGCCAGGACCCGCGGGGCCAGCGCGAACCAGGCGGCTCCCGCCTCGCTCCCAACAAGGGACAATGCAGAGCAGCCTCGCTGCAAGACAAACAGGGCAGAGGGCCATTTATTGCACCCTGGGAATGCATTTGGTTTCCCTTTGCTGGTAGATAAGTTCAGGGAACGAAAAAATCAAAATATAATTAAAAAGGCTTTCTTCCTTTAATTTGGTGTAAATTTTGCATGCTTGAAGATGCTCAGTCATCAAGGGATAATATCAACATTCAGGTCATGCTATGTCTTCCCCTCACTCTTAAGCAATGCAAAGGAGAATGAAAATCTTCCTAATAAGGTTGCTGGAAACACTCCCCTGCGGGCACCAAGCTGGCAGAATCACTACAACGAGCTCTGTCCCACTCTGAGGTCCCCATGGTCCCTGAACACTGCTGGCTTTCTTGCAAGGATGTTGCCTCTGAGCTCCGTGCAAGTAATCTCAAAATCTTTGTGTTCGTATCTTTGTGCATGTATGGAAATGATGCAAAAATCGTATCACTATAATTGGAACATCATTTTAGTACTGCGGATGAATAAAGTGGATTGGTGTTTTTCATGCGCCCTAGATCATGGCATCAAGGCAAAGAAGGGAGAAGCACATGCACAAGTGACACACATATCCCACACCAGGGCTTTACAGCAGCGCCACCGACTATTGTCCCCATGAGTAATTGAAACAAAATTGATTCACAACTAAAAGTTTACTTTACCTTCTGTGCACTCCACTGCCATAGCTTTTCTTCCTTGTGTTTTAAAGGGGAAAAAAAAGTTGGAAGACAGTTGATGCTCTCTGTTATGAGAGTTAGCACGAGCGGGAGCCAACAGCGGCTGCCAGGCTCCTCCACAACCCGGCTCGTTTCAGAGCAGCGTGGGCCTGCGGCACTGACTACAGCACTGCTACAACCGAGGACACCGCACGAGAACGCTTCGCACAGGAGGAAAGAGCCGCTTCCTATGAAGCACGTGATTGTATTTCCAAACACACCCGGAGGCTGAGCCCCTCTCTTTACCTTGCTGTAAACACATGCAGATCCACTAAACCGTGTCATACCCAGCTGTGACACTTTCTGTGCATAATGTCACCTGCCCTGGCTGCTGTCACAGTTGGTGGCACTAACGAGACCTTAATGGCATCTCAGGAGTTAAACTGGTAGCTGCCAAGGGACGCATGAGGATAGAGCAAACGGCCCAGCTGCGGGCAAGCCGCACACACGCCAGCCTTGCGAAGCGGTGGCACCTTTACGCAGAGGGAACTCAAAGCACTTTGTATCAGATAAAGCTCTAAACTTCCTTTGGGTGCTAGCAAGGATATCTATTTTACCAAATGGATAAACCAAAATTTCAGATTTATGTGCTTGGCTTACTACTGAAAGCTTTAAAAATGAATTCTAATCACAGGCCCGTCAGCCTATCAATTTCTTCCCTATGCCAATGGAAAGCCTCCTTACCTACAACGACTTCTATCTTCTTGCTGTCTTGATCTTCCTGCTCGTTGAACACACGGCACCAATACGTCCCTTGATGTTCCACGCCCACGCAAGCTACCTGTGTAAGAATCACAGACGATGGGGATAAGCAAAGCCTATGCAAATCTAAAAAGCTGTATATACTCTCACTGCATGGACAGCGTTTGTATTTTAGAAACTATTTCAAGAATTCAAGAACGCCATGCTGCAAAGTCATGTGCAGGCTTAAGCTGCACTGAGGACAACAGCATGGGACGGCAAGAGCAGCTTGCACTTTTACTGACATTTCATCCTTGCTGGGTCAATACATCACTCCAGTCCAGCGCAGGTTTAAGTCACTTCCACAGCTTCCCACCTCATGACTAGCACCTCAAACACAGTGCCAGTGACCAGGAATCATAGAATCATAGAATGCTGAAGGTTGGAAGGGATGTCTAGAGGTCATCCAGTCCAACCCCCTGCACACGCAGGGTCACCTAGAGCACGTGGCACAGGACTGCGTCCAAGCGGGTTTGAAGATCTCCAGAGAAGGAGACTCCACAACCTCTCTGGGCAGCCTGTTCCAGTGCTGCAGGAGATTACGTCTCCACACCTCAGAGCCTCAGAACACTGTTGTCACATGAGCAACACAACATAAGCACAACTAGCATAACGTGCACCTGTATGCGAGGTTACCAGGACATGAGAAAGTTATTTTCTTCAAGGAAGCTTTATACGACCAGCAGACGGTGGTTACATACTAACTGTCGAACGTTGGCACTAGGCAGTAACTTACCATGTAGACATTTTTGCTCCCATCTGCCAGGGGAAATCCATTTCTGAACCACTGGTAGTGAGGAATTGGGTTTCCAACAGCTCCACATTCCAGTACCAAAGCATCCCCAACCGACAGGTTCTGTGGCTGAGGCTCAATACAAATACGTAACTGTTTTTCAGGCAAACCAATCAAATTCCCTTAAAAAAAAAAAAGACAGAATTAATCTAACCTAATGTGTATTAGTAAGAATTAACCAAGTACAGGCACATCATCCTATAATCACAGAAGACTTAAACTAGCAGTGAAATTTAGTTTAAATTGTATTTCCATAAAGCATATGAGAAAAAAAAAAAAGCAGCACCTGTTTTCTACTTCTTCAACTGAAGATTAACAGAAACACACACTAAATGTGCCCCCAAGCAAGCAGATGTAAAGCTCTCTTTGCATCATTTATTCCCACCGGTGCCATCAGCAAGGGGCAGAGCTCCAAAATGCAGAGCTGTTCTGGAAAGGCTCCAGAGGGAAAAATCCCAGCTACAAAGAGCAGGGGCCACCAAAGGATGCATAGAAACCCCAACCTGTGTGCACGTGTGTAGGCAGGGACAAAAATTCCCTGCATCATTTATTTGCTTCACTGTAGGAAAAAAAAATAAAAGAACAAGGTAAAACTTCAGTGTCTACAACAAACCTTAAAATCAGTTTTAGCATACCCGTATTCTTCTCACTCTAAACTTAGCCTCAAATTTTATAAAAAAAAACATGTAAGAAGAAAATAAAAGTACACACCAAAGGTTTCTGATCTGTATGTGCTGAAGAGCTTGATTAACCAAGGCCCCTTCCAGCCTCAACCATTCTGTGACAACACGGCCAGCTCAGACCCACCTGCAAAGGCCACCCCAGGGATCTTCCCTCTCAGCTGCAAGGTCACTCACCTTTATTTTTAGACCAAGCACGTAGACACTTATTGTGTCACCAGAACTATTCGTGACTGACGACTAAGGGCTGACAACACTATCCTTCACATACTAAGGGCAGGCAGTGATATTGGTATAACACCATACAACGAAAAGAAGAAGAGGGGTACTTCACAAAGATGGCCTCAAAACCAATTTGCCAGAAAACTAGAGAGAGACAAGCTGGTAATGTCACGGAAATCAAAATATGTCAAAATATAAAAATTCAACTTCAAATCCTTTCAGCTTCTGATTATAGCGCAAACTTAGAAATACAGAGAAAATTGATTTGGGAAAAAACAAACTTAAATCTGTACATCTACTACAGAAAAAAAAAATCTTTTCACTAGCTAGACAAAAGAGAGGGCACATCGAATGAAAAGAGGAGGATGTGTTGCCTGTCCAGCTAGAGTACTAGGGAGAATTACGGTTTCTGGAAGAGAAGAATAAGTGTTTTATTAAGACGATACCTTTACCCGCAAGACAGAAAAATCAGCGTTTCCTTGTTTTGGAAATCATCTTCGTATGTCAAAGTTTACTAGGGATATCCCTGTGGATTTCAAATCCTGCTCCCTTCCTTGCCAGGAGGGAGGAAAAATTCATGGATAATCAGCAGGCAAGCAGAAACATTGTTTTTATCATAACTCCCCCTAATCCTTTGCTGTTTATTACGTTGTCATGCAAGCTGATAACCAAAGAAAATCAGCTACCATGAAGGTTATCAGGCAAAACACAACCACACGGAATTCAAGTCTACTCCATTAACTATGAGACTCTCCGCAGACGCTTATTTGGTGGTGATTATTATTATTCCTGTCACTTGAAAATACCCCTGCAAGGTCTAGCAGGGATCTCTCTTGCTGAAACGAGCCCTTTACTTCATGTCTGTAAACAGTAAATGTGAAGAAGATAACCCGTCCCTCTGTGCAGCTGCTTTTTAGGAAGCAAATGTTTGGAAGATGTTTTGCATTTCATATTCTTCTCTTTGCAAATCTCAACAAGTTCCATTTGGTGAGTCTTACGGAATGTGCCACTTCCTATGATTTGCCAGGACCTGTTGACACAGGAGAACTTGCCCTAAACTCATGCATGTAAACTGAGATATGCAAGCACAAAGTCGCACTGAGGACGTCACTGTGATTGTGCTCATTACCAGTGTCCATCAGACCTTTTAAAAGAAGACTATATTTTCTAACCAGCCTCTAGACAGTTAAGGAAACTGCCAATATATGTTGTACAAGTGTGTACAGCATTTCAGATGGAGAGACCTTGGCTTACTGAGTCCTCTAATAACCTTTTCAAAGGTTTTTGTTTCTTAGGAAAAACTTTGTTGTTTCTTTTTTCCACTTCTTACCATATTAAAGATTTTTATGTCAAAATAAACTCTAGTCCCTTTCAGTCAACTGTTCAGAGCCTTCTCCCTCCCTCCCTCACTCTCTCAACTTGATATTAGAATCTTTACCAAAAGGAAAAGAACTAATTTCCCTCTAGGGCAGAAATGCAGAAGTAAGATGAGAGGTAAAGGAACTGCTGTTGTAGTCAGGTTAAGCAAGATTAATCTTTAAAGACAACAGAACACATGCACAAGCTACAGATGGTGAAACTGAACATGAGAGTGAAAGATAGACAGCTTGTGTCCCCGGCGCGGTGTCGCACAGCCTGCTGTCCCGTCACTCACACAGCGCCCAAACAAACCTGCAGCCGCCTCGAGATGTTTCTGAAATTGTCTCTGGCTGCTTCACTGGTCACAAGATGACAGCAGAGCCGAGAAAGTTGCCTTTACAGGGGAGGGTCAAGCTCTCATCAAACAGAAAGCAAGGAAAAGATAGGTGGTAAAAAGAGACCTGGGGAAGAAAGCAACCCAAGGGATCAGGAAAGAAAGAACGGAGTGAAGCAAAAAAAAAAAAAAAAAACCCAGACTGCCAGCAGCTGAAGTAGGAGAGCTCAGTTCCAGCCAGCATTTGCAAAGATGGTGCTGTCTGCACCACCTAGTTCAATTCGATCACAGGCCAAATGGTGCAGGAAAGAAATCCCCCAAAAAGGAATCCTTCCCCACTCATGCTTTTGTCTGTCACCAAGACTTAACTTTGACTCATCTACTAGTTTTTCCTACTATTTACATTTCAGATTTTTTTTGTGGCTTCTTTTCATATTATTCATTGCATGTTAATATCATGAAGCTGATAACTAGCCAAAGCATATTAAAAGGTCCTTCCATTAAGGTTTCTGGTTGCCCAATACTCATGAAGCAAATCAGTGCACTACTCTGTGAATGCCCACTGTCCTTTAGTCATCAAAACTTCTGCAACAAACGTGAAACAATGTCTCCTCTTTTCCCTCAAATTCTTTTATACACACACAAACATCTCAGCCTCCTGGTGCAACCAGCAAGATCTAAACCTGCACCTTTCTGACTGAAGTGGGAGCGAGGGAAAAGCAGAAGAAATCGTTGTTCAGATACAGGATGGAGAAGATGTTGGAGATTCAAGTGTTGAAAGGTTATCCCAGCTGACGCTGCAACAGCCTTTGATCTTTTACTGGAAGATCAATACTCTCTACCTCTTTTTCTTCCAGGAAAAAAAATTTATGGGCAGGATGTAACACTGCCCGATGATATAAGGCAAAATGAGCACTCTGTAGTCTGAGGATGGACAATGCTACTCACTCCAAAAAGACTCATTTTACCTCATACATGGCTTGTTTGCATTTTATTTGCAGTCAGGAAAGGGAAGAAAAAAAAATTCCTCAGGATTCTTATACACCCGGACTGGCAGCCAATAGAGAGGCCAGACAGCCCTGAGTATTAGGCCAGTAGGGCAGGCTTTCAGGAAAGACTGTGTCCAGTCACTAACAAGTCACAGGCTTCAGGAAACAGCAAGATAAGAAACGTTTTTGTGGTCCGAGGCTCCTCTAAAGATTAAGGCAATTCTGAGTCTCTGCTTGTTTGCAATCTATTTTTATCCATCACTCAGGGGAACTTCCTTTCTCTCCTGCGCTCGTGGCCAGCACGAGAGAGCAACAAGTGACACCCCCTTCTTCCACGAGCCCCCTCGCGCACCGGCCGGGCCCGGGGCTCCTCCAGCCAGCAGGAAGAGGCGGCTGCGTTTGTCGGACACGGATAACCCAGGGGGGCAGAGCAACAGCCCTGCCCGGCCCGAGGGGTCCCCGGCACGGGGCTCTCCCGCTCACCGTGAGACGCGTCCCGGGGATCGCAGACCTCCAGCCGTGCCCACCGGCTGAACGCAAAGGAAGAGTCACTGTTCACCCGGCAGATGTAGAAGCCAGAATCACTGACTTGCACTGGACTCAAAACCAGCTCTGGAGAGTTTCCATGGGGAACCTGAATTACATATGAACCAAGAAATATTTAAGTTCAGACTGTTTTAAGCTAAACCAGGATCAAACATTTTATTATTTGTTTCAGTGTCAGAAAAAACAGCCTCAACTCCTCCATTTTTGCATGAAGCCCTTAGCAGAGGAAGTCATGTTCTAAGATCTTTCTGAAATTTCTAATTTTTCCCCACAAATAATTTCTTGAGCTACATTCTGTTCTTGTCTTAACGCATATTCAACTAAGACCAGGAAAACAACAAACTTAACATTCAGTATCAGAAAGTTTTTTTTTTTTTAAAAAAACTACATCTATAGTGAGAAATGTATTTGTGTATGTGTAATGAACTGACTGTAAGCATGTTTTTATTTTAAGCTATGGCTTGGAGGAGCTAGATAAACCTTTAGAAAAATGGAGGAAAAGGAGTTCCCAGTCCTAACAATGATTTGAATGTATCAAAAAGTCAAGGGCACCCCTGGAATCAGGCTTTGGGAGCTCAGGAAAAAAAACGTTCATTTTTAGGAAATGAGTCCCCTCTTTCAGAGGCCCACAGTGACCGGCCTTTGTCCCCCCGCAGCGGTGTCTCACTGGCCCGTTCAACACTGCTTGGTGGATGGACTGTCACATTCCAGGAATAGTCCTCAAGGATGAAATAGTCTTCACATATTGAACTATCCTATCATTTCAGCACATTTACAGGGTCACATTGCTGCATTTATTGAACTTCTATTTCTATTTCTAGATTGAATGTCTCTCCTTGAATATGAAAATCATAGCTTTCAAAAAGAATTAGTATCATCTGAAATCTCCAAATTAATATCCAAGGAGAGAAATAAAATTAGTAAAAATTATTCCACTGAGTCCTTACCTAATTATTCATTTCCACTTTTATATATATATACACATACACATACATGTATATACATGCACACGTATATATTGTATACCAACTATTACCTCTTTTTCCTGCTTGAACCACTGGTAATGCACAAACGGGTGCCCCGTCGCCCAGCAGCAGAGCTTGACCACCTGCCCGGGGAGCACTGCTTGAGAGTCTGGCTGCACAACGATCTTTATACCTTAGGAAAGGATGCACAGAGAGGAAAGTTTATTAATAAACACACCCCTGCCATTTACATTTGCATTTAAATCATCCTCTGAACAATGAAACTTCCTGTTTTTCAAACCACTTAAAAATAATCAAACTAGCTGTACTATATTTACACAGTTACAAACAGCTATTTAAATTTAGGATACGTCACTCCCTCTTGCTCTCTTTTCATTAACACAGATATTATTTCAACTGCGTATGTTCCCTCTTGGGAAAAGCATTCACAGTTTTTAAGAGTTTGCTAATTCCCAAGGATTTCTTTGAGCCTTTTAATCTCAAAATAGGAGAGAAGGCATAACCTGAGGGAGGGCTCAGACCTGTAACAGCTCGTTTAACTAGCTGCATTTTTCTGCTATTGCTCAGACAGCTTTATTAGCTCACACTGGTTATAGCTTCATGCCTTGGACTTCTACAGAACACAGAGCTAGGGTTTTATTCTGCCAATCTGCAAGAGAAGATTTTCCACTTCAGATCGTAACTGCCAGGAAATACCACGAGCTAAATGTTGACATCAGTGTGGTAATGATCCCGTTGTGTTTTTAACCTGGATCATTCCAGGGATCTAGTTACAGCCTGACCCCAAAAACAGATCCACCGGCGTAGCCAAGGTCACGGCGAGAATGGGAGGGGAAAAAAGAAAAGTTAACTGCAAAACACAAAGTTTAATCTGGATTTGCTGCACACAAAGCGCAAGTGGACCTAAGGCCAAGGTGTTCAACAATACAGAGCCCATAAAAGACCAGAAATCATTAGCTTAAAGTAGTGCTTGCTGTGAATAATAAAATACATTTAACAACCCTACTGGGACCACATGCAATACTAATTGCTACCAATCATACTAGCAAGCGAAATAGCGCAGAAGTAACAAACATTCCAGAGGCACTTCATCACCGCCTCAAAACTCTCTGAAACCAGCCCTAGCTGCTAAAGAGGAGCTCGTACTAAAGACTTTGTTTTGCTTGGATTCAGTCCAGTTTCCCGTTGTGCGAGAAAGCCGGTTCCTTCCCTACAGCCTGATGAACTCTTGCTGCAGGAGCCCAGCGTGAAAGCTGGCACAGAAGCAGCATCTGAGACCGGGCAGGGGAGGGAACTTGCAGGCTAATATAGAGCACGGCAGAAACTGTGTGCAAAGGCAGCTGCAAAGAGATCACCAACACCCTGGTAACAAGGCTCAAGATTGTCATTTGCTCCAATCCTTTCTACTGCAGTCCACCAGGGATTTTCTTTTTGTCTGCTTTTTCTGCTTGTTTAGTTTAACAGCTAGGCAGGGACACGAGAACACTCTCTGAATGGAGGAGGCACAAGGGGAGACACTGCACCTGCGGTGGTGCGGGGAGCGCGTCGAGCCGCGGGCA